CCAAAATAATTACATGAAAGAACAAAATTTAAAGCAGCGGGTAGGTCGTGAATGTCGCTCTGCTGTACCGTAGGTTACAAGTGGGTAACTGTAATGGATGAAATTAAATATGAATCCAATGATATTATATCATTGTATACGAAAAACGATTCTGAGCGGAGATGGTTTATATGTATAGGATATATTATAGATTATTATAAATTTTCAAATCTTAGATATAAAAAGTCGTTTAAATGTTTTGTAAATTTTACCATGTTTAGATAAGGCTAATATAAAAAAACCCCTAATTTCAAGTTGTTACGAATGATTTTAACTAAATTACAACAAAAAACTCCCAAAATTAAAATACCTATAAATAATTCAGAAATGGCTAAAATTGTTCGAATTTTAAACCGTTAGGAACAACATCTAAAATATAACAAAAAATATCTCTTGTCATTTTTCATTTTAAGCAATATTTCTGGTAGAAAACGTCACCTGTAATTATTTTATATTATAAAATCGTGAAATCGTACGTTTTTTCTTTTTTAACCGTTTTTATTTCGAGTACCGTTTCGAAAATCGAAAAATGACCTGTTTAAAGTACCAAATCAAGAACATTACTTTTCAGTAATGATGCTACGCTTGATACTTTTGAGCAAGTTTAGAGGGAGAAAAAGTGTTTACAGAATAAAAAAGAAAAAGAAATTAACATCATTATAAAACCAATACATTCCTCGCTCCAATCAGAACCTAATCGTTATATGAGTACATACATCAATTATTTAGTTTTGTACAACAGAAATCTTTTTATTTCCAAATTTTTATTTTGCTTATTTTTCCTATTCAAATAATTATGTATTTATTAAAAATTTTTTATTCTTTTATTCAACTATAAAAATTGTCCAGTGCATATTATGAAAATTCAAATAATTTATAAAATGTAACTAGGCCGATAATATTGAATTTTTAAAATAACGCATATTATTTTAGTTAAATAATATATAGCTTTTCTCAACAGTCGGGGCTTAAATATTGATGGTGGTTGGTGAAGGTTTCAGTGGCGTATTTACAGGGGACCGTATTTCAGAGGATAGATTCCCCCTTGACCTTTTTTTTTTTTAAGGAAATTTGGTCGTCTCATTTTCTGTATTTTCTAAATATGATATTACTTTTAAGTATGTCTGATTTCTAAATGTTCTAGTCGTGGTTATTGTACCACTCTGATATACTAATCACCACTAATCGTTGGTGGCATATAAGACTATCGGACAACAAAAACATATACTTATATTATAATATATGGTGTTTAATAATATTTGGATTGTTCTGTGGAACATTATTATTATGTTACCTACAGTATTTTTACCATATATCGATTACTATTCAATGCAACTGACTGAGTGATTTATGAATCATAAAGCTATATTTGAAGACAAATATATTATTATATGTATATATGTAAATATTATATATTATATCTATTAAATTTAATATGTTTACACTTTTTTTAGAATTTGCGATTTTATACTTATTACATATAAATTATTTAATAGGTTTAAATTGCATTTTCAAATCAGAATCGCTTATGGTAGATATGGAAGATATTGTTTTATTCATCAAATATTTACCAACAATCTAGCATCACTGAGTTGAAGATGTGGAGAGTAAAGTTAGTGACAGAAAAAATTGTATTCACCTCTATAGGCTACATGTTTTAGATGTTGTGATAAAGACTTTTATCCAAATATTCATGAACTCTTAAAACTATTTTGTACTTTGCTGTATCAACTGTTTCACCTGAACAATGTTTTTCAAGTTTAAAAAAGATTAATTCCTACTTAAGAAATAGTATGACAGAAGTAGTCGATACAAATCATGTCAGATGAGGTTATAGACGAAATTCAAAAAAATAGATTTTGTATTATAACTATTTTTTTTCGGTTGTATTGTATATTGTATTAAACACACGATTGGCGCTAGTAATTAGAATGAATTTATAATAAACATAAATGTTAATAATTATTAGGCATGACGTACTATACAATTTTGTTAATTCTTATTTCGCCTTGATCCACACTAACCGTAATACGTAGGTAATAAGTTAGGAGATTTTAAGAATGTATATAATGTACGTATTTATGGTCTTATGGGTATATTATTAATTAATATATATTTCATCCCCCCTAGTAAAATTCTTAAATACGCCACTAAGATGTATGTATACTAACTTGTTATGATTTTGGAGTAAGACTCATTGCTCATTTGCCCTTGAGTGAAATAATAAGAATCAGTAAACATTTTTTTGGCGTGGGGTTGGTGGATATTGTTTCTTTGTATCGGGTGGATGGTTAGTATTTGAGCGAGTGAGTGTGAGTAGTGGAAAGGGAGAAAAGAAAGGAAAATACTCTCTACAAGCCTAATCCAACTCCCCCGCAAAGGCACCGCCACCGGACATTCCTATATTACACATATAGACTTTGTATATATATATATATATATATATATTATAATATGTGAGTGAGATTTTATGCGTATAGTTTTCAAAAGTATTTCGTTTTATGCTCTTTTTCTAGTTTTCCTATTGAAAAATGTACGTGAAAAACATGACGGTTATATGTTGATGTTTTACTGTGTGTATATATATATATATATATCTGTTTAGAAGAAAAGAAAACGGAAATATATTCAAATACGAAAACCAATATTTCCTGTATGCCTGTAATATATTTTATATATCACGTATTTACAAGAGGAATATGAGGAGCTATAGATAGAGGGGATAACATTTTAAAGTTCTAGAAACCAATGGATATTGACGAGTGTCAATCCAATAGATATAATATAACATAAGTTTTTGTAATAGTACACCAACAGCAAACTGGATGTGGTCAAATCTTTTTCATCTCCATGTGATGGATTATTTTTAAATAATAATTCATCTGAGTAAATTATTTTTCCATTATTTTTATGTTTAATCATTCGATTCTTTTCCCATCCATTACAATCCGTAATCCGTATAAATCTTAAATTGTATAATTTTTATCAATATTACCTACTGCAGCAATCAGTGTCGAGAGCAGTGAACAACAAACGTCATCTACACAATGCAATTTTAATTTAGAATGAAGTTACTGTTTATGATCAAAAAAATTAAAATAATACTAAAAAATTGGGTAAGTCGTGGATGTCGCTCTGCTATAAAGTAGGTTACAAGTGGTTTACTGTAATGGATGGAATTAAATTTGAATCCAATGATATTATATCATTGTATACAAAAAAAGATCCTGAGCGGAGGCGGTTTATCTGTCTAGGATATATTAAAGATCATTAAAAATTTTCCAATCTTAGATTAAAAAAGAAAATTTTATATATAATTTGCGAATTTTCGTGATTTTACGTATGTTGTCAAAATTAAAACTTTGAATGCTTATAAAAAAAAATCGTGACTATATATTTCTTTTATTTCTCAAATGCTATTATAACAATATGTTAGGAATCTTGTATTAAATTTTCAAGCTTTAATATCCAACAAATAATTTGTTTTCGATATTAATTTAAAAAAAACTAATAATGGTCGAAAATTGGATAAGCATATGAATAGTTCAACTTAAGTCGAACATTTTTGAAAATTTCATGGTGGATAGAATATTTTTATATAAACATTCGGTGAAAATTTCATGTATCGATTTTGTCGAAAACCTATTGTGCGTACAATTTCTCATTTTTCACTTAATTTTTAGTTTGTTTATCCCGATTATTTAGAAAAATATAAAGAATTTTTTACTTCTGACTGCCCAAAGTACCAACTAGATTCACTTTCTGATCGAACGAGGTACTTAAAGTCAGAGGTTAAAGTGGGGAAAAATTCCAGAGGGGACTGATGTCTCCATAAAGTYTTAAGCGTTCCATATATAATTTTWGGTATAATGTCTAATGTATAAAATCCTAATTTGTTAAAGGGGACGCTTTTTAACCGCCGTCAGAGGTAAGGGGACTGAGTCCTCCTGCGTCCCCCTCCACTTTAACCCCTGCTTAAAGTCGAGAATTGAAGCACTTTTACTGTCCCAAAACGTGATGACAGACACAAAAAAAAACACACACACATCATGATGTAAAATTAATACATTCCTCGCTCAGTCGCTCCGCTCATAATCTAAAATAAAATAATTTTTCCACAACTTAAATGTATATTATATTTTTTTTTTCAATTTATTCAATTTTAATTTGTCAAACTTTGTATTGCATGCGGTAAGCATTATTATGGTGATCAGCGATTTGATTAATTAACACTGTTGTTTTATGAGTTAAATGACTTGACGTTTAAGCATTACATCGAATTTGTTTTGGTAGTTTACATTAGTAATGTTTAATGATGTTCCAACTTGGTAAATTATTATTATTATCGTTTTGAGTAATACTCCCTCGGAAACTTTCGAATTACTACCAAAACCGATTACCCGTGTACGAGCATAATGTAAACACGAACTAATTATTTAATTAATTAATTTCATCACCTTTAAAATATATAACTGAGTATCATGTATTTAATTTTGTACTGTATAATATAATATTATGTAATACATTAAAACAATGTTTATTATTTAGTACATAAATAATTTAATTACAATTCAATATTTTAATTAATACATTATTATACTGTATAAAATCATTTATTAATATAATAATATGTTTGATGAAAATAATAATCATAACTTTTCTGTTTATAATAGTAATACTCTTTATCAATTTTTAGTATGTTCGCAAATTTAAAACGTATACTGAACAATAAAAAGCGCATGAATAACGCATACCTCCAAAGGGTAGTTAGAATTTTTATCTTATCAAAATGTATTATGTTATAATACCTACACATTTATTGCCCAGTGATTTTGAATATAATACCATAATATTGGATTCATAAAATAATTGAATTATTTCTCATACATGTATATGCTATTTTTATGAAGAATTAAAATAATTCTGTATATTATATGGTTTTAGTTTATATAAAAAATTACCGGCATGATAAAGTCTAACGACCTCGACGACAGTTTGAAATTTATACAGCGAATGGCGAATGTCTTCTTCGGGAATGTCTTCAGGGATCTCATAAACCAAAACTGAAAAGGTCTTTTGTGGTCTGCATGGTATTGGAATCTAAAACACAACGGTACAGTTACGGTGATGTTATGTGACAAGTAAGGGTATTTACGAGTTTGGTTACTGAATATAATCATTTTTCAGATAATTAAAATAGACAATAAAATAGACAATAAAATAAGCTAGGAGTGTAAAAAACACTTAATTATATTATAGTATAACTATAATCACTCACATTGAAACCTTTCATATCAAATTAGTTTTCACTGTTTCTTATCATTATAACGTGCTACCTAATGGATTAACGCTATTCAATATTGATTAAATATAGAGAGTATATTTTATTTTTACCTCGAATAGCGCACATTTTAAAGAACAGGGAGGTTATTTTATTTGTATTTGATGGTAATTTTTATTTTTTTATGGAAGGTACTTAAACTTAGTGGTTACAACAAAATAATATCCTAGTGGATAATTTAGACACATTCGGTTTAAATTTGAGCAAGTGCATTTTTATCTAATCCCATCTCAAAATCATATTTTAAATGCGTTGATTTATATAAAAATTTATTTAATTATTAATAAATTATCGTAATAGTTATTATTAATTATTATTTTAAATAATTTTAAATTTGTGTAAATAAACTTTTCATGTAATGCCTTATATAATAACTTAATGACTTAACCTCCCCTATCAAAAATTATATTAGTTTTTGTTTGGCCAACATATATAATATGTTCTATATAATAATCATATATTTATTCTATATTTTTTGTCAAAATTGGAATAAATTTAAATTATCTTCATATATTATATGACATATAATTAAAAATTATAAATATTCCATTGATTAGCAAGACAAGCATTTGGTTATTTTGTTTTGGTGCTGATTTGTTGGTTCAAAATATGTATACATAAAATATTCACTAGATATATTAATGATTTTTTCATTGAAATTAATGAGAAAGCAAAAATGTGTGTATACCTAATGACCATCTTTTGGTATGAGCATGCGAGTGAGTTATGCCCGCGGTGCTGCAAGTTTTAACTTCCAAATGGAGATCCAATTTCGTAGGTTATTATCATAGTAATAAGTGTCGTAATACATTATAATAAACTCGTTATGTTAAAAGAAAAATTATGTATACATATATTAGCTATAAATTATGAAAAAGAAAAAAATAGCAGATATGCTGCCGTCGAGGCCATACCGTAACCGAGGTAGTTGAAGGGATGCGCTGCTCCAGTGAGGAGGACGAACGATGGTGGTTTTAAAACAAAAAAATCTTCTTTGGGCGTCGCTGTTGCACAGTGGTTGTTTAGGTATGTTTGGGTGCAAAAAAAAAACCAAGAAAATAAACACTAAATGTTTACAGGCAAAGAGTGACAAAACGAAGGAGTGGTCGTGGCTCTAGAGTCGGGAGGATATCACATGCCACCCGGCTATTAATCATTTTGCCCGAATAATCCAGCGACATATTTATATATATATACATATGACTGCCGTGTCGTGCCAGCGGCGGTGGATGCGTATTTAGTTATAGCAATTTGTCATTTTCAAACGTTCCGTTTTTGCGTCACGTGCCCTTCTACTCACCCTCACAAAAAATCCTTCATCCACACCTCTATACACTTATTTCTGCAAAGTACCAACCGACTTTATTTAATTATTTATCGGATTCCTGTGACGTTAATTATTCCACACCGACTATAGATGCTTTGAGACATAATAATGTAATATTAATTACGAACAAATATTATAATAAATACGCCAATTAAAATAATGCAGTATTCGTATTAAAAGTAGGTACAGTACACTGTATCGAGTATAATTTCTGGCATAGGTTATTTTTATTATTTTTTTTTCAAATAAAACACTTATAATGTTATGTTGATAATTACTTAGGTTGTAATATCAAACATAGTCATGACATACAAATATACTTTGGAAAGATAACAGAAATATTATATTAAAAGAAATTGTTACTAGGTATAATAAAAACGATATACAATACGTTGATTATTAAGTAGGTATCCATTGCGGTATACGGGAGTTATATTATAAGGGAAAAGTATATCACAGATAAATAAATTTGATTCGATAAATAACCAATTTAAAAAAAAAAAAAAAAAAAGATACTAACAGTGGCATTGAAATAAAAAAATGTATTACATAATTCTATTATTATATGCCTAAAATTGGAATAATTATTTTATTATCTACATAAAAAGAAAAAAACGACAAATATTAAATTAAGAATCTTTTTTGTTATCTTTTTTCAACAGTAAATCGCAAAAGCTTATCATAAGTAAATAATTCTAATATGATTTCTATTTTCCATTAAATAACTACAAATATGAATTTTTCGTTATTTTATTTTAAAATAAACTGCAAATAGTTATTATAGTTATAACGATGTGTATTTTAGTATCATTAAAAACATTATTTAATATCATGCATGCACCGTATTATATTACGATATATTATTTCATATTTAAATGTGAGTTTTAGGTCTACAAGTTTTGTTCAAAAGTACTCATTTAAAAACAATCGATTTTTCAAAAGAATTATAATGATTTGGGAGACTTGTATATTACTTACTTAAGACAAGACACAACTCATAAGTATTTTATTATATAATTAAAAAAAAAATTAAAATAAATAAGATTGTGTCTTGTTACTTAACTCCCATCTGGATACGTTCAGTAAATACAATAATATAATGTCTATTATATTACGTGGTTACGTGGCGTAAAATTACTACAATGGAAAACGAATAAAAAGTATTGCAAACATATTTTCTACATCCATAAAGTATAAAGTGAAATATTTACTTTAAAGAAAATCAATAACCATACTCTCAAAGTTTATTGAAAATGAAATAAAAGAGAAAGTTACAAAAGCCTATGTATAATATAAAAAGAAACCCTAATCCCGGAAAATCAGAAAAAAATAAATTATAATACATAATATATTGTGCCCCATTGATATATTCTTAAAAGTGTTGAGAATATTTTTATGAAAAGAACGTCATACTCGTATATGTTGTCTTAGTCTTACTAAAGTATAATATAGTCAATTTTGCATTTTTTACCTTTATAATTTTATAAATCCATTTTAAATTTTCGTTTCTATAAAAAATATGACTACCTATCTAATGTTTTACGTTTATGATATTTCAATTTTAAAACAAGTTATGGGCGTTTTTTTAACTGTAATTTGATCGTACGTTTTATTTTCCTCAATATTCCATGCATGATTGATATAGTATCATAATAATTAATATTTATATATTATTTATATGTAAAGATTTAGGAATAATTAAATTTTAAAATTTGATAAAACATACATTTTCTGTCACATTAAAAATAATAGAGTAAAATTATACGTAAAATATATTAAGTGATGCATGAGTAAATCGGAAAAACACGTACCTAATATGGATAGGTTAGGTTTATAATGTACTCTTCATCAACATTTTTAACTTTAAGATGTTGTAAGAATAATTGGGGAGGAGAATCTAGAAAACAGAATATAAGTCTACATTCTCGAGATTTAAACTTTTAGAATTGATTGGAGATGCACACGTTCCATTATCATTTCGAACCATCAAACAAAAATAAAACTACACAGAAAAAAACGACATTTTACTCGTATAATAATGAAAAGCAAAAACTTCAGTCGACGAGAACAAAAAAAAAAAAAAAAAAAACAACCATCTAAAGGATAATCTTTTAGAGTGATTTTGGCGAAAGGTAGAGAGTGAAAAAATGAGGGAAAAATCGCGTGCGAATTGTGTTTAATGGTTATAATAATCGTATACGGTATATACCTATAAGTGTGCGTGCGCGTATAGAGTCATTTAGTAAGAGAGGGAAAAAAGGAAAACAAACGCACACGAGATAATACAGGAGAGATAAGAACATAGGGCGGAAAAGAGGCCTCCTTCTCCTCACTCACGCACACATCCATTCCGGCCGATACGGTGGGGCGTCAGTGGCGTGGGTTAATGTTAATTAGCGAAACCAGTGGCGGCTACAACACGACGACCATGACCACAGTTGAAGGCACCATTGGCAGTGGCAGTGGCGGTGGTGGCAGTGGCGACAGTGGCAGTGGCGGAGGAGGCGTCGTTGGCCACGACAAAAGCGGAAAACGTGGCGAAATATCAATACGATATGACCCAGAATGGTGCGTACTCGTCAGACGGCAGCGGCGGTGCGTTGGCACTGTACACTGGCGCAGGAAGGGGGATGGCCAGGGTTGAAGTGGTGGACAGTGGCAAAGGTGTGTGGGTGGTAGCAATTTCTCAACCGATAAAATCAATGTTTTTTCCGACGGCCCTAGCTCGGTGTATCGTTTTGCATATCATAATATCATAATATCATAATAATGTAGAATATATATAAAATAATAATATAAATATATAATTATTAATAATAAGACAAGGAAATTCTACGGATAAAAATACGTAATATTGGTACATTAAACTCATTAAACGTTTGGTTGTATTTGTGGAATAATATATATTTATTAAACATTAAGCATTTATTTATATGTAATAAAAAATTGTTATGTATATTTAAGTAAATATAAGATGTATTATACTATATAAAGCTYAAAACCAAAAAAGGCTTTAATTTGTTATTATTACCTTTCCCTGTTTTTAGTTTAATATAAAAAATGATTTGCTATAGGTAAATAAATTCCACTTCACCTTTTTTAATTATTAATAAACATAAAATACCTAATGTACTGAATTCAACTATTAAACCTGTACAGTGTTTCTCGTTCTTCACAAGAGCATTTTGGTTTTAAACTAAAAAGTATTTGTACCAACTAAATATAAAATAAAATGAACCACTGTAATAGAGAACAAATCTATAAACATACGAGTACAGACTGTCAATAATCCAATGAAAACACTATAGTAAAATATCTGTAATGAAATTTGTTCCAATTTTTAGTCGGAGCATAGGCGTTTTTAATTCTGAGACTGGTCCTCATGATGAAAATTGCCATGCCTCGTGAAATAGATATACAAATAATTTTGTT